AAAGCTAAATGAATGAACACCTTTAAATAAAATTTCTTAAAAAATTGGTTATGAAAAATTTTAAAAAAAATAAACGCATATGTTTTAAAAAATTTTTAAAAAAATTTTAATTCCCAAGTTCTTTGTAACAAAAATTAAAATTTTTTTTAAAAAAATTTTTCCCAGGGGTTAAAATTTTTGAAAGGGGGAAAAAAACCCCAAAAAAAAACACAAAAACCAAAAAAATTTTTTGGTTTTCAAAAATGGTTATTTTTAAAAATTTTAAACCGGGGCATTGAAAAAATGTTAAAAAAGAGGCACCAAAGTGACAAACGAGTAAAATTGATCAAATAAAAATTTAAAAATGAACATACATGTTTTTTTAATGTAATTACTGTTTTTAAAAAAAAAACCGAAAAAAATTTTTGTTTTTTAAAAGGGAAACCCAAAAAAATAAAAAATTGTAACGTTTGTTTTTAAAAAATGAAAAAAATAAAGTTTGGGTGTGTTTAAAAACCCTTTTTAATAAGTTTTTAGGGCCCAAAAAACAATTGAAAAAAACCGGGTTATAAAACCCCGGTACTCCTATTTTTTAAATAGCCTTTTAACAGGGAACCCGTATATACCCTTTTCAAAATTTGCGTTATTAAAAACCAAAAATTAAAATTTCGGGCAAAAAATTTTTTCTTTTAATAAAAAATTTAAAATTAATATTTTTTTTCCCTTTAACCCTAAAAAATTTCAGGTGTTTAAAAAACTAAAGGGAATTTTCCAAAACATACAGCTTTAAATTAAAAAAATTTATAAAAACGCTTTTTTGAAAACAAATTTTTTTAAAAAAAAATGTTTTGAAAAATACGTTTTCCCGGCAAAATGGGTAAGGAAAATTTTTTTAATGGAATTTTAAACCCCACTGTTTTATGTTCGTATATATTTTTTTAGGGGGTTTTTTCGCGCACCAACAAAAAGCCCAATTTTTCATATAAACGAGGATTTATTTTCGGAGGGACCCCCCGGTCCCCAAAACACGCAAGACCACCGGAAAAAACCCCCAAGTTCGGGACTGTAAGCTAGCGGGATCTTCCTAAACCATGTTTTAAATTTTAAAAACCCCGGGGCCAAGGGGACAAAATTTTTTGAAATTTTATATAATCATAAAATTTATATGAAATAATGTTTAAAATTGTGTTTATTTTTTCCTTAATCTCGTCTGCTTTTTCGGCGCCATTTCCCTTCTCACCCAAACCCGTCAAAAGGGAAACGCCAGCACTTTTCCCGGGAAATTTCCCTTTCCCGGGCCCATTAAACCAAAAAGGGTGTTACAAAAAACCCTTTGAAAAAACTAATAAAAAATCCATTTTTTTTGAAAAAAAAGAATGTTCCAAATTTGTAAAAAGAACGAAAAAAACGTAAAAAACAGGGGAAAAGCAAAGGCCCCCAAAGTGTACACCCCCAAGGGAATATTTGATACGCCCTTTAAAACCCAACCCATGTCTGGGAAACACTAAACAGACAAATGGTTATGAAAGGGAGAGTGTTACCCTTTTCCGCGAGATGAAAAAACATAGTCCATTTGTTTAAAAAAAAAGGGACTTGAATTTTGTGAATTCTTTTTAAATACCTTTCTTAAATTCAAAGTTTTTTTTTCTTCAAGACAGATTTTTTCTGCAGAAATGCGGGGAAATGCATTTTTAAATTTTCCAAAAAAATTAATGCACACTTGATGAATTCAATTTTAAACCATACATTTTAAGTATTTAATGATTTTTTTCCCAGATGATTTAAACCCCCATTTTCCCCAACCCCCCTTTAGCAAATGAAAACCTTTTGACGCAATGTTTTTACAACACAGGGGAAAAATGGGGCAAGTAGCCCGGGTTATCCCCTTTTCCCGGGTAAATTTTTCAAAATTTGGGACACGCCAGACACAATCCTATCCAACCGTAGATGGCATTATCCACGGGGCAACTGAAAAAACACCGGAAGTGTTTGATTTGCGGGGGAAAGGGTTTTTTTGGAAAATAGTTTTCTCATTAAAAACCCCCCCCACAATAAATTGTAAGGGGGGGGAATTTGGAATCAGTTTTTTGTCCCGTCCGGGTTTTTTTTCCCAAAACAGTCCTTCAAAATTTTGGAAATTTAAAGATTGGTAAATGATTAGTAGAGGATCCCTATTTTTTTTGAGGTCCCCAAAGGTCAAAAGGTCCCCCAGGGGATTGATTTTGAAAAAAAGATTGCCCCCCTCAAAAATTTAAATTTTTTCCTTTCCCCTCAAACTTTTTTATTTGTAAAAGGGAATTTTGGCCCAAAAGTTTGTGTTTTTTTTTAAATTTTCCCCCAAAACTTTAAAAGAAACAACCTCGTACCCCTTTTCCCTTTTTTTAAAATTTAAAAAGGGTTTTAAAATTTTAAAAAATTTTTAAAAAAAAATCCCAAATAAAATCATTGATATTTTATTATAAAATGCCCGGCAGACGGACGAACCTGAAAAAAAAATACTTCACAGCAGGTTTGGCGCTTCGGGTTTGAAAACTGTCGGGGTACGTTTAATTTTATAAACCCGGATGTCCCAGAGTATAGGGAAGTCACGAAATTTTTTTTCCCATTTTAAAAAAATTACAACATGGGAAAATTTGGGGAAATTTAAACTAAAAAATAAAGCTAAAAAAGTTAAACATTTTCCCTTTAAATCAAAAAGTTTAAATTCCCGCAAATTTGAAAAACTGTAATGAAATCCTTAAAAATTCCCCTTTTGTCTTGTAACCCAGACCCAAAACTTTTTCATGTGAGGGAAGTTTAAATAATTTTTCAATCCTTTGGCAAAATGTTGAGCTTTAATTACAAAAAGTTTTCTTTTTATAAATTTTGTATAAAGGAATTTACAAATAAAAAAATACGGGTAGAATAAAATTTGTATTCCCTTTTTTTTTTTAAAAATTTTCCAAAAGGGGACCAAAACATTATACAGTTTTTAAAAAAACATAAAAACCCCCTTTTTAAGCCCGCTTTTTCCAAAACGGGCATTTCCCAAAGTTTCATGATAAAACCCCAAAATAAAACGAAAAACCCGAAGGGGGGCCCGGGTGGGGGTGGAAAGGCAAAACAAAAAATAAGTTTTCCCAGCTTAATGTTTTGGAAAAAGAAAAGTAGGGCATCATTATTCGTATAAAATTTCTGTAGTATAAACTTAGCTGATTATTTATTGAAACTTGGACCAAAATTAGTTATGTTTTGTCCCAAATGGAAAAAGAAAAGAAAAAAATCATGGGAAAAATAAATACCTGTTTTTGTTGAGAATTGTCCCCAAACTTTCCATTATCGGGTCACCTTCTCTGAAACCCAGCAACATCGCCTGTATATCAGTTCCGACGATATTTGCAAGAAACTTCAAATCATTTCCGTACATCATATCTAGAAAGTTAAGACAATGTTAGAATATACAATATCCTCCACAGTGACTTCCCCTTAATTTACGCCATTTGTACAAGGGAAGTAACCGCTGAGATAAGTTTTAAGATTTTTCGTGTAGTTATCTCCCTTTATCATTAGTTTCACTTGAAGAGTTCACTATTTGTGTATTTTTGCGAATATTCAATAGCTAGAGAATTGAAATAGACAGAAAAAAAAACTAAATGTAGATTTAATTGTTTATTTTATTGATGCCACAACAGAGTATCTAAAGATGTTCATTATACATGATCTTTGTTCATACATGTATATATATGTAGATATATACTGATCCACGCTTCTAAACCGATACACTATTCAATATACATATATTTCAGTCTTTAGTAGGAATATCTTAAAATTCATAGAGTTAATCATCTTGACAAACGAGTGCATAATAGATAAACAAAACCAAAAACTACTAAAGGATCGACTTTATTACCATATATTTATCATCATAAAATCAACTGTCAATTTATCATGCGTGCATTTTAAATTCAAACGACCGTTCTGTTTAGTAAGTGATCTTGATCAGGCGCGGACCAAGGATTTTCTTTACAAGAGGGAGTAAAGAAATGGTACTTATGGTTGAAAACATAGGAGCCGTGTAGACTGAACTAGCACTTTCCTTTAAAACTAAATGATCCATACATTTCCCACGTAACAGACAGTAAAGTGCGGTAAAAGAACCGAGTTTTAAATGGTATTTTCGGATATATCATATGTACATTTTATTATAATAAATACCTGTTTTATTGATGACAGGTGAACTAAACGGACCAGTTTTTTCTCCAATCAGCTGATCAAACTGGTAAAAGTCACTAGTATATTCTTTTGTATATTTATTTGTTAGCCAGTACGATATTGCAACCTGAAATATAAACGTAGAAATCTGAAGTTTTTATCATTGTTTTGCCATAATAAAGTCGAGAGGCATCATTAAGAACAATCTTTATTTTCATCACCTAGCGTTATATGTACAGTTCATACGTAGAGTTTTTTTGCCGGTTCATAAATATCCACCTAGCAACTGTTTTTGGCAATAGTTCATGTTTAATAAAAGTACATTCGCCTTTTTGGGGATGGTTATAAGTCATACCAATAGAGATAGGATAATTGGATCAAAAACCAACACAAATTAAGTATCAAAACATGTTTCGCTTAATTCAGCTTCCTCGGGTGATACATAAATAAAAATGACGTAAACGTACAAAACAAACGTCTATGTCATGCATGTAAAATATTATTGTTTAATCAATATTTATTAATAAACTTATGTTCTGTTCTGTTCTGTTAATAGACGTCACATTTGGCGCGTAAAAGAAACGTTATACCAATATAACAATAAAGAGACATTCAGAGGCAACATTACTGAAAATTATTTAATAAAAAAAATATTTTAAGAAAAATAATAAAATAATAAGTAACTAAACAGGGCAAATTCAATCGTTATGTATAATGTAGGGCTGAAAAGTGAGTCATTCTTTTAAAATGTTTTTTTTTTTTTTTTTTTTTAATTTAAGATTTTAGAGGACATAAATAGAGCACACAGGTCTATGACAAATGGTATGAGAAATCACGAAAAGATTGTTAATGTAAAGGTTCACTTACTTCAAGATTATTGTTGAATTCTGCCGTGAACACACTGCTGTTATAGAACTGGGGTTTGTCTGCGATGAAGCTGTCGACCCGCTCCTTGGTGAAAGGCAAACTCCAATTTTTACCATCCCTATCGGACTCTGCCTGCATAATTTATTATTTTTTCATTTATTTATAAGTAAGGGATTTAACTCATCAAGTACTGGAGCAGTACCTCTGGACACTTGCAAAAATCATAATCATAAAATAGACAAATATCGTTTTTTTTCGCAAAGTCTTGCATTTTTCATTCATTTTCATACATAAATCGGTGTGAAAAGATGAATTAGACCGATTAAAGTTCATTTTGTTGGGTGAAAAGGCAAGAATTCAGCATTTTATCATTCGAGCGAATCGTCCGGTATTTACCGGAATACAGTATTTAGTGTGGTGCTCCAACCTTTTTTAGTCTCACTCATAAATAAGTGTTTGTGATATACATGTACATTTATTAAGAATTGTAATAATGGCGAAATAACCCTGAAGTCAAGTGTGTAAATTTGATTTTGGAGCTATTCTATCAATTTAGATTTTGTATAATACCGACGAATTTCAGTTTTGTTTTCGCGGATTTGCAGACGATATATTTGACCCGAGTCATCCAGACGCTTATTAAATATCAACTAATAACGGATGTTCCAGACGCTTATTAAATATCAATTAGGAACAGATGTCGAATTCTCATGAGCGTATATATTTATAGTCTCATAAATATTAGTTTTGTCTGTAACTGTTTAAATATAATCAAATTGATTATCAATTTGTAATGTTTGCGATTTGTCTCAGTCGTATAATAAAACTAAATAAATACTTGGCTAACACGTAATGATGAAAAATTGAAATGTCTTTTTTTATTTTAAGTTCAAGATCAAGAGTATGGAACTAAAAATGAACATGTTATGCTGTAAATATAGCTAACATGACACAAGAAAGACTTTTTTTTAAAAATTTGCCATATAGTAAAAATATATGTATACACACGAGAACTCCCTGTAATGAATAGCGTACGCTTGTAAAAAATTTTGCACCAACTATATAGACAATAGACATTTTTACAACGCGCTTTGTTGCAGATCCGTATTTTAAAAAAATAGTATTTTAAAAAAATAATATTTACTCGTGCACTGTGAGAAGAAACACAAACAAGAGCTGTCACAGGAGACAGCGAAGCTCGACTAATAAAATACTGGACGCAGTAAGGAGGACAAAACTATGAAAGAAAAATCAATTATGTATAATTATGTATAAAGTTATAGTAAAAAAACATTTGTTAACATAAATTCCAAGATCAAGGGGAATAATTCTAGCAATAGTCATACTAGAGTTATGAACCTTCTCACACAACATGTGTGTAATGATAAGAAATATATATTTGAAGTTTGAAGTAGATACCTTAAAAAGTAAAGAAGTTATAATATTTCTTAAAGAAAATCCTAAGTTCAAAGAGAGATAAATCTGTTAATATTGCTTCAAGAGTTATGAACATTGTCACATAAAATGTAATTGATGATAAGGAATAAATATTTGAAGTTTGAGGTAGATACCTTTAAATCTAAAAAAGTTATAGTAAAAAATAATATTTTTTAAGGAAAATTCTAAGTTGAAGGGGAGATAAATCTGAAAATATTGGTGCTAGAGTTATGAACCTTGTCACATGAGATGGGGATGATGATAACGTACATATATTTGAAGTATGAGGTTGATCCTTTAACAAATAAAGAAGTAACAGTAAAAAATAGTATTTTTTGAGGAAAATTCTAAGTTCAAGGGGAGATAAATCTGAAAATATTGGTGCTAGAGTTATGAACCTTGTCACATAAGATGGGGGTGATGATAACGTACATATATTTGAAGTATGAGGTTAATCCCTTAACAAATAAAGAAGTAACAGTAAAATATAGTATTTTTTGAGGAAAATTCTAAGTTCAAGGGGAGATAAATCTGAAAATATTGGTGCTAGTGTTATAAACCTTGTCACATAAGATGTGGTTGATGATAAGGAACATATAATTGAAGTGTGAAGTTGATACTTTAAGAAATGAAAAAGTAATAGTGAAAAATATTTTACTGTACCAAAACTTTAATCTGAAATCTGGACGCGGGCGCCTATGTCAACGCCGGGCGAGTAGGACAGCTCTCCATATATTTCGTATAGTCAAGCTAAAAATGTTTGATACGTTTTTTTTTTTTATTTTTATTGCAATTTACATTTTTACCATTCGCAGCTTATTCGGATATGAAAAGTCAGCAAGGCGTTCCGAAAAGCATTTCAACCCAAAACATTTCGCAAATTTCTATTTAATTTCCGTACAAGGTCAATAATTTTTCATCAATGTCATATTTTGTTAAGAATTTGAACATATTTTGTACAAAAAATTATCTTAAGTGATATCTTAAATTATAACAACCTGTAGAAATGTTTGCAGATTGTCCATGAAACATTTTATGTTGTATTCGCCCGTGTTAGGATTTTTCTGTATGTGTAATTCTTTGGCCTCCGCTTCAGGTAAAGTTCGTAGTTTCTCACACAAGCCCTGCAATAACAAAAGATTCTAACGTAAAGCCTGCAATTATGAAAGTTTCTCACACAATCCCTGCAATAATAAAAGTTTCTCACATAAGCTCTCCTATAATAATAGTTTATCAAGTAAGCCAAGCAATAATGAAAGTTTTTCACATAAGCCCTACAATAATAATAGTTTATCAAGTTATAAAAATATAAAAAACACCCTTTAATACACTTGTTACTATATATAGTAACAAAATTGCCTATGATTTCAACTGATTATGAGTGTCACGTGACCTATTATGAGTTTGCGGCCCGGGGCCGAGAACTTGTTATCAACCCGCAGAACATGTGCACGTGCACAAACTGAAACAATGACGTCACTTTTAACGTCATCAAACAGTTAACTGTAAAAGTGAAAGTAGGTTGTCAGCACGCATCGCTTTATTTTTATTATGAGACCTTAAGCGTATTTAGTACAAACACATTTTTGTTACTATTGAAATTTTAAGAAATAATACGACAAATTCATTCCGAAAAAAATGAAAATAAAACTTGCTTCTTGGTTCTAGAATCTACTGCTTTGAACACACAAACAGAAAACATCTCTGTACAGAACAGTAGAAGAGTAGACAAGAATTTCAACGAAAGAACTTCAAAGTATATTTGTTTTGATTATGTTTTTGTTATTTTTTTTAATGCTACTATTAGATCTACCAAGTGTATTAAAGACATTAATACACGTCAGCGTAGGGCCGGAAGGTGATAATCGGCCCTGAATGAATAATGGCCCTCGGGCTAAAGCCCTCGGGTCCATTATTCATTTTGCGGGCCGATTATCACCTTCCGGCCCTCTCCTGCCGTGTATTAACCTCTTATTATGAGTACATGTGTGTTATGAAATCTGCAACATTTTTCACGCCCCATTGCACCGTTTAAATCAGTAGATTTCTATTTAAACCTTATCACACACAGAGATCAATGACCGCGTGATGGGATCAGAAAAAATATAACAAAATTAGGGATGTATAAAAGTTTTCCTGTAATTGAAAAGTACGAAAAATCATAAAAAAACCCGCATGCTATACATTGAAAATACTCCATTTTCGAAAAGAATAAGATTGATGTGTGTGAACCGACGGCACGTTATTATATAACAATCAATTGGTTACATGTAATAGGTTTCAACCTTTAAATATATAAAACTTGAACGACATGTGAATAGCAAAAGCAAAGCAAATGTAAGGAAAACTTGCCTAATATTGTACAAAGAAATATATTATTCATTCATTCATTCATTCATTCATTCATTCATTCATTCATTTAATTAATTAGTTTCATTTATTACATGTTTTGCAGTAGATTACTGAATTATAACGGTTAATTATATTCTGATAATTTCACAGTAATGATTACCAAATATAATTGGCTGTGACTAAAAAAAGGATTGGAGCACCACACTAAATACCGTATTCCGGTATATACCGGACAAGGCGCTTGAATGATAAAATGCTAAAATCTTGTCTTTTTACCCAACGGAATGAACTTTAACAGGTCTAATTCATCTTTTCACACCGAATCAAGTACGATAATCAAGGAAAAATGTAAAATTCGGCGAAAAAAAAGGATATTTGTCTATTTTGTGATCATGATTTCTGCAAGCGTCTAGAGGTACTGCTCCAATCCTGTATTGAGCTAAATCCAATATAATTTCACAGTAGCCGAACTATATTTGGCTTAAAAATAAAATATTTATCATTAATGAATGTTTTTTTTCAGCGTAAATGTAGTCAATCATAAAAAAAAAATGTACGTGATAACTGTAGTTCGTAAATATTTACGAACATTGTGCTGAAAAACATCTAAAATCTAAAAATAATCATGGAATTATATTTTGCTTCAACATTGTGACGTCATAATTTGATGACGTCATGAAGATAAAAGCATGACGTTACGCGGAAAAAATCAGTAAAATGGTGTAAAAATCGTTAAAAAATCATGAAATAAACAGAAAATTTGTTTGTTTTACATGTAAGATCAAATAATATTTCACTCGTGAACCCCAGCTATTATATTTTCACTCGTGGCTACGCCACTCGTGGAAAATATTTCATCTGGTGTTCACTCGGTGAAATATTTTTCGATCTTACACTGAAACAAACAAATATCCTCTATTTATTTTTCATGGAAGTAAATTTATACTAGTCAAATAGAAATAGGGTATTCTATATTACATAATCACGTACTTCTACATCTACATCTACATGTTACTCCCGAACAATCAATTCTGACTATGACTGGGAGATACATGTTCTTTTTTGTTCTTGAAAGAAGCACTTCAAGTATAATCTGTCGATGTTAAACTGATAACATGTAATTTGTCATTGTTTGCTTGTAACGAAAAGTAAACAAGTTCACATGTTTGGAAAAGTAAACAAAGTTATTTCCCGGTTGTTGATAAAAGGAGCAACGTGTACGAATCAATGCATTCATTAAAAAGGCTTGGTTCTTTCCAAAAGGTGTCTATAATCGTGAATTAGCCATATTCAATTTTACTCCCTGGAACTGTAAACACTTCTGCATGGCTTGGTGACATGTGAGGAAATATTGTACAGAAAATATTAGTATATAGAAATGTTTACTTTCACTGTCAAATAATTACACATTAAGTGTAATGAAGTTTATTTTATACATGTACTTACAAATAAATACTGAAAATATTGATAATGCTTCTTTCTATTTTCTGTATTTTTAATGTAAACAATTTATTTTTCATTGCAGTGAAACATATTTTCCGTATTTTCACTGCCGGACTACTTTCTGCTCAATTCAACCAATATACAAAATTTAAGGAAAAGTTTATCAACTAATGATGTCAAAAAAAAGAAGAAAAATGCATAAGATTAATAATAAAGAAAAAAAATCTAGTGTTTTTTTATAAATACAGAATTTTATTTTCATCTTGTTGTATGCTAATTATCATATTTTTCTTGTGGCCAGTCACGGAGTAATAATTTTCATACCACTCCTGTATTTATAGAAAAAAATCTTGAATATCCTCTACATATTCATGTTTATTCATCATTAACGTGCATTAGTTTATGGGAAATAAAAAGCTAATTAGCCATTGGTAGAATGTCTAAATAAAATAATAATAATAAAAAATAGGAAAAGGATGTACTCATATCCCACTACATTGTCAGTCAATAGACGGACAGTAAGACTTCAGCGTGACTTTGGGAAGGACGGACGGACAAGGGCAACTCTATGTGCTCCACTCCCTTATGTGCGGGGTGCATTAAAATCATTTAAACTTTTCAGTTGAGTCAAAGTGTATATACAAGTAATTCATTATATCGTGTAAGTTTGTGGTTTATACAGGTATTTATATTTGCATGCACGATTTATTTCATTCCTTATAAAATATATCAAATTCATTCTCAGCATTTGATATTTAAATAAAAATCATTATTAGATCCAATCTTGTCATTATAGCTTCGTTTTCATTTCCAGAGTCCAAAAAATCAGTTATCAAATCCATACCACACTCCACAAAGCCTCGTTTTCATTTCGAGATTACAAAAGGTTAATATCAAATCCATATCGCACCTTATATGACCTCGTTTACATTTCTAGAGTCCAAAATATCTTTATCAAATGCTTCAAATGTTTTCATTTTTGAATCAAAAATCTATATCAAATGTTTTCATTTTTGGAAGTCCAAAAATCTATATCAAAATAAAAAAAAAGATAGTGTGAAATAAAGAGGTCATGTATCATGTTTGGGTACAATACTGATTATATTGGACTCGTACACAGCTGAAAAATCTATATCAGACTCAGCTAGCGCCTCGTCCAATATAGTTTTGACACCAGTGTACTCGCCCAATATAATTCAGTATTGTACTCAACAATGTATAATAACGCCGTAATATCGTACTTATACATGTATACAAGCATAAATACCATTATACTTTCTACTTATTTGTTTAATACACATGTATATCACATTTTCTACCAGAGACATGATATTACAATAAAATTTTGAAAATGAAATATTATAAATAAAATACATATTTTTTCGTAAAATAAGTAAATCCAAAATAGGGCAAATTCATTACATAAATACAGCAGGATTGCGATTATTTAAAGGTATTTATGCAATAATGTTAATAATACTACTATTTAAGAAACTTGAGACTGGGTACCCGGTATTTTATTGCTACTTCTCTTTTTAATGTCACATTTAAAACTTTAAAACGAAAACATGATGTTTATCTGTAAAGTGGTTCACTAGCTTTTAGCGACGGATTAAACCAGATGTTAACCACATAAAATATTTGTTACTTTTTGGTTGAGTAATAATGACATAGTTAAAATCGTGGTTTAAGGAAGGAAAGAAGTTTACGAGACTATATATTCATCTTGCAAAATTTGCTTTTACTTTGACATTGTAGTTTTTATCTTTTTGGTACGACCTAACCTAAGCATAACATTTACGTCGTGACAAACGCTTGGTTAACCAGTAAAATCCCTAGTATTTATATAAGGAAAGCCAATAAATTAGGGAAGATCTTCTTCAAAGGGATAAGAACTAAAGGTCCGGTGTTCTACCTATGCACCGCTTTTTCTCCTTAACTGATAAGCCTCACCCCCCATATAATCAAAGTACGAAGAGCGCTGTTTTATAGGTTAAAGCTGCATGCCTCCAGACGAGTCAATTTTTTCTTCAAGAAAATCAAACTTGTAAAAAATGTACTAACATATTAAGAAATGTCAAAAGACTAAAGAAATGATTTGCATGTTGAGTGCGATTAATGACTGATTTTGCAGTATTTATCGCCATTTTCTAATACGTGACTAACAGAGTAACTAAGGGCTATTTTTGTATATTTTGACATCTCTCAGGTAAATTGATTGGATTGTAAGTGCCTAGTGTAAAATTACTTTTTTGTTCAGCCACAACTTAAGACTTTTACATACATTTTTAATCTTTTCATGAAAATTAGTATTCTATCCAGTCTTTTGGTTTAAAAATTATATATATTATCATATTTTCATATGTTGACAGAATTGCAAAAGAACTTTGTATTTGTATACATGTATACCTAGGAACTATGGATTCTGTAAAATGTTTAGATAAGTTTGGTCCATTATTATCATTATCTTGGACAGAAACATCATGTGTGGCTACATGGCCGAGTGGTTAACGCGTAAGGTTTGCTGACCGCGCGGGTTCAAACCCCTTGTTTCAAGCCGTTGTTTCCCTTAACAAAAGCAAGAAACTTTACACTCATTGCTAAGTACTGGTTGGTTCCGGGATCGGATTCGAGAGTGTTTTAGTAAACTTAAAGCTTCCTACACAATCGAACTAAAATACATACGTATAAACTAAATACAAACTAAAAACATCTCTTCAACCCATAGTAAGAAACAAATAATCGCAAAACAAATATACCATCAATGCCAATTGCGCCTCTTCTGTGTTAGGGTTGAAGTCCAGGTCCCATTCTTGTTTTCCCGTACACACGGGGTCAGAAAAGTGGCAGGTAGAGATGTCGTTTTGTTTTACTCCTAGCAACAGATGAACGGACATCAAACCAGTTCCTTCACCAAGTGAGGACAAAAATGAATATAATTTATGCGAGTAGGCCTTCATGTACGGATGGTCGTCTGGTAGTATATTAAACTACAAAAAATAACATATATAAATCAATTTCGATACGCCATATATGATTGTACATGTAGATCATTAAAGCGGCATTCAGCTTTCATTTTCTGTTGTTGTTTTTTTTGTCGGAAAAACAATTATGTTTTGTTTCAAACTAAGTTTTCAGTAATTTTATTTTGAAAAAAGTGCATCTATCAGTGAAAAGCCTTCTTCAAAACAGCGTCCCGAGAACTATTTATAACGCGTCAGTCACGTGCGTTTCTAAAAATAGAAAATTTGTGAACGAATTGTCCGCTCTACTTAAGAGGTATCGAGGGGTTTCATTGTTTTACATGTATATATATTTTATCGTCGGCAAAATTCATTTTTCACCTTAATTCTTTTCTACGATTTTACATAAATTATTTTAACCTTTAGAAAAACTGATGGCCGCTTTAAAATTGTGTTACAACCACGCTTCAAAGTCTCAAACGGAAATAAACTTTAGAACCTCATTAAGACTCATTATTAGAGGGACTCGACTGAGGGTGTTTTTGACATAACGGATCTGGAATGTATTTTTCAATATTCTTTATATCATTTGATGTAGATATAAAGCAAAACCTTCTGTGCAAAATTTCAGATCATTTTGAATAATCATTTTGATTATAATCCTAAAATGAACTTTTAATTCAATCGAGCTAAGAATTGCACCATAAAAATGACTATAGATACTGAATATGCGTGCGCTTACCAGCTCATTATCGGGCTCGATTTGTGAAGCCTGGTAGATGAAGAAGGCCAAAACTCCTGCCAGTACAAGAATAATCAACCATCTTATAACCTTGTGTGTCACAAAACGGAAATAATAATTCCGAAAGAAACGAACAAATATCGACTTCTTCTTTCGCTTTTTGGATAAACTTTTCGATTTATTGTCAAGATGTGACACGTGATTTTGAGAATGATTTACCACCACGCCGTTTTGTTTTCGATCATTTGACCCTTGTCGTTTTCGATCTGGTTGTTGTGTATGGCCTGGAGAATACAACCGATAACCGCCTGTAGTTCGCCAATCACCGTTTCTTAGATATGATTCATATGACTGATAACCATTTTCTTGCACCGATTGATGTTTTGACGGTAATTTTGACGGTAATTTCGCCGTATCGTCAAAAGTTCTCGACCAATGGTAGTTTTGTTTTACAGGGACATCCGGTTCATAGACTGGATTAACTCTTGAAGCAGATAAGTCATCTTCACGCTCTTCACTTTCAATATCATGTTTACTATAATGTTTAGCGCGTGCGTTCTTGTCGTTTTTATCGTCTGCGGATTCATGATCGGAACCCTTCTGACACGGATAACAGCACGGCCATGTTGCTTTTTCAAAATAAGTGTGATACATGATAACAACTGTCGGAAAGTAAAGTATGACCGAGAGGTAGTTTACGACAACTACCAACGCTGAAAACACACCAAATGACCTTGTCCCAAGTAAAGGTGATATTGCACTGGACAAAAACGCAACCGCTGTTGTCAGTGAGGTGATAAGCATACTGAAAACTGATCTCTTATAACAATCTGATAATCTATGAGCAACTGACAGATACTCGTCACATGCGGAATTCCGCCAAATATCGTAAAACACAAATACATTGTCCGCTCCAATGCCGAGAATGACAAATAGTGACAGGATGTGAAAATATCCAATGTAATCGAAACGACATACTAAATTATAAATCAAGTTGCCAGTAAAGAAACTCGCAAAAATGCTTAAAATTGCAAATCCAGCTATCCAAAGCGACCTCGTATGCAACAGAATTACAAGAAATATGAACGCCATGCTTGCCCCCGCCCAGAGCACGTCTTTCATGGCTTGGGTTCTAGCGCTGTACATCCAAATAGCCTCGGAGCGATATGAAAACTTAAATTCGGACGCATCTTCATATTTCTCAAGAATTGGTTTCAATTTATCGCCGGAAAACTTTTCGGCTTCCATTTCGTAATCACTTGAGCCGTACTCTTCGTGTGGTAACCCAAATGAGAGGATAGAACGCGTCATCTTTGACGTCACTGTATTCTGTGTAGTCTTGTGCTTTATTGCAAGAAAGAATCTAAAACCATCCCTAGTTGCGTTGTGTGTTGCGGCCATATACAGAACATTATCAACATTTTCAAATGCTGTATCATTGAATACAGGGTCTATATCTATAAACGTTCCGTCAAAGTATCTTAGCACCGACTGAGGTTTAACACACTGTCGGATCTGAGGATCGAGTTTACAAAATTTTGTGTAGTCATCTGCGTTCATTAAATCGTCTTCAATTTCCTTCATTTTCACAAGCGACCGCTTCGTGAAAATATTATCACCATCAACGTCTTCGTAAAACATGTCCATAGCGGCATACCAAGCTTCAGAAGTTCGAAACCCAGCATTAGTACCACCCCGAGTATAATAACCGTCATACTTTGTCCGATCAGTCCAAGCGAACCATCGGGCGTCCCAAGGTTCATCTACAAGACGCATAGGGACGTCGTCCAAAAACAAGGGCATGATGTCATATCCGGATAGATATAAGATCCCTGTAGTTGCGATCATAGCAATATGTCCAAACAAGGTCAGTACTGAAAAAAAAAAGAAAATGTAATGACTCTTGTTTTGTATGAAAAATCAAGTTATTTTGGGTATTGACACACTGCTACTACCACAGTATTTATTTTTATATTTATCTTATTAAATATTACATTTTAATGGTATAATGTGATAAACACTTATCTTAGTGAGTAAACATATACATTGAATGTTTAAGGGGGGATTTTTTGGCGAAAGGTGAAACTGCGTGTTTGTAGAATCAGATATTTTAGAAAAAAAAAAAAGATTTATATTATTTCCCCCGGATATATTCTTTGTATGAGTTCCTCACTATAATGAGCGAACTCTACACTTTATGATACATACAGGGTGATCCAAAATATCTGATACCATTTCAGTGTCTTGTATGTTTTACATACATCACACGATTTTATATATCAACACACATATTTAAACTAGATATTTTAAAGTTTAATTTAACATTAAAGTCATTATGTTTAATAAAAAAATAAAAATGAATTTTACCAAACAAAATTTACATCAAATGTTCAATATGACGTCCATTTTGTGCTACTACGACGTCAAGTCTCTTTTTAAAATTTTCAATAGTGTTAACACACGTTGCAGGTGTATTTTTTCTTATTTCTCTGCGAATGGCTGACTTTAGCTGCTCAAGGGTGTCTGGCTTTGGATTATAAACATTGTCTTTTAAGTGTCTCCATAGAAAGAAAGAAATCTAACAGACTTAGATCAGGTGAGTGTGGAGGCCATACTTTGTCTGATTCAAATGAGATAAATTTTCTGCCAAATGTTTCTTTTAACCATTCCAACACGTGTCCCGCAGTGTGTGGTGCCGCTCCATCTTGCTGAAACCATATTGTATTAATGTTAATACCTTTTCTTCGTATGGCTGGAAGAAATTTTGTCTTCAAGAGAGAAAGATATCGCTCACCATTTATTGTTTTGGTTTCATCTTTCGATTCAAAAAAGAATGGTCCAATCACACCAGTCGAACTCAACGCTATCCATACCGTCACCTTGTCATCATGCAGTGGCTTTTCTAAGTATAATCTCTTTACTCCAAACTCGACAGTTCTGCTTGTTTACAGCTGCATTTAAATAAAAATGTGATTCGTCTGAAAACCATATTTTATCAATTGTGGTTACATTATCAATCATCCAACGAGCAAACTCTAATCTGCTGTTAATGTCTGTTTCTTTCAAATGTTGCATAATGGATAACGAATAGGGAAACAAATTCAAATCAAAACGCAATGCCCTATGTACACTTCCATAACAAGACTTATTGGTAATGTCTCCAAGAACTTTTCTTACAGATTTTTGTGATGTCTCCTGAATCACTTGCTGGATCTCTGCCACGTTCTCTAAACTGCGGCTTGATCTTGGTCGTCCACTGTTGTTATGTCGGCTATCCTCAACTGACCCAGTCTGCTTAAATCTATTTACAAGCCTATGCACCTGAAGCTTTGTGAGTCTGTCATCATCAGGATATATTTTCTGCATCATGTGAATAACAGTAACTGGAGACTTAGTCTCAAAATAAAGTTTAACTATTTCTGCAGCTTTCTGTTTTGACGTCGCCATCTTGAAAAACAACTATTATTTGATGAGTTATCTATGATGTCATGACGTCAACGTTTTCCCGTAAAATAATTATGACAGAAACGTATGACAATTCTCTTTTCAATGTTTTATAGCACTTAATGATTGCATCAGGAATGACTTATTTATTCAACTTCAAAACAGTATCAGATATTATGGATATTATGGCAAAACCGTCCTTTGTATAAGCTTTCCGTCCCCTGCAGATCACAAAAGTCACGTGGTATAAACACCATGATTACAAAGGTCGCAAGCCACTAGAATCTTACCCTTCATCTCACCCTTAATATGGTCTCTAGTGGTAAACAAGCGTGTGGTTTGTCCCAGTACTACGGAACGCCATAGCCGCCTCATGTTATTACATTTCTTTTTATCTTGCCCAGAAAGCGTCTTATTATGTCAAATATAAGCTTTGTACTGCCGTTGTAATTTGTCGACTAGCCTAAACATTGCCTTATTATGCATAACAGTAGTCTTATCTCTTTAAAATGCGACGTTGACTTGTGTTAACATTGTTTAATTTTTTCAAACAGAAGTGTAATCATGCCAAAATGTCGTTTTGGCTTGTCTGAAATGTGTCATATTATGCCAACTCGTCGCCCTATTTGGTCAAATTGTGGAGCTGTTTTGTCAAAAGACTGTCTGATCATTTGAAACAGTAGTGTTCTCATGTCGTAATGTGGCGTTGACTTGTAAAAGCACAGCTTTATGTGATCAAACTACCATGTTATTTTGTCAAAATACGGTGTTTAAATGCCTTAACATTGTCTTATTGTGCCAAACAACTGTGTTAATTTGCCAACGTACACTACTGCATTGTCTTTTAATATCAAATATTCGAATTATCTTGCGGAAATGGGGTGTTGACTGGGCTAATTCTTTATGATTTTTTGTCAAAAAGCGGTTTGACTGGTTAGAATTCAGTCTTATAAAGTCAAAAAATTGCGGTATCTTGTCGAAATGTGGTAATGACTTGTCAAAATCTTTCTTATAATTTAAAATATTCTCGAAATTTGATGTTTTCTTGTAAAACACAGAAACGGTCCTATTATGTCTTATAATTGCGTAAATTTGTTCAAATTTAGGCCTGTCTTGAGAAAGCGCTGTCTGATTTTGCTAAACCGCCCCATTATCTTTTTTGCTCTATCTTTTCACGCCCCGCGCGGGCTCTGGTCACGTGATACTAAATTTTGACAAGATCGCATCTGAACAGGATAACACGATTATCTGACATAATGAGACGGTATTTAGACATGTTAATGTCATAAACAGGCAAGTTAACGCCACTGTACTACATAATGTTACTGTGTTTCAACAAGTAAACACCACATTTGAAAAGGAAAATTTATACTTCGCCATAAAGGACGATGTGTAGTAATATTAACACAGAGCCTTGACAAAATAAAATGACACTTTGACAAAAAGATCGTAATTTTAGACAAGTCATCACCACGTTTCGACAAGATGATATGACTATTTGACACAATAAGACGAATATCGACAAGTTGAATCTGCATTTGGACACAACAGCATGACAGTTTGACAAATTAAAATAGCGTTTTAACAGTTCGTAACCATAAATTGTAAAGATACAAGCATTATTTCACATAATAAGACGGTGTTTAGACCGGTTAACATAAAGTTTGTATAAAACAGCATGGCGATCTGAGAAAATAACGCAGTGTTTCGACATGTCAATACCATCTTTCGACAAGTCAACAATACTGTTTGACATAATAAAATAACGTTTTCATAAACAAACAAAATTTATTGGCAAGTCAACATTTAGTATTTCACATAATAAGTATATTTCTGGACAGGATAACAACAGTTTTAGACAAGACAGCATGATGTTTTGGCACAATAAGACAGAATAACACCACCTCATGCAAAGCAACATAACAGTTTGACAAAACAGGACAGCACTCAGCCAGGTCAATATAACCGTTGAACAAGATATCACTACTAGCTGACATAATAAGACATGAGTTTGACAAGTTGACACCAAGTTCCGACAAGATAACACTACTGTTTCACATAATAAGACAATTTCTAGACAAATTACCACTGCAGTTGGACAAGACAGCATGCTATTTTGACATAAAAGACATTATGTAAGCAAGATAACACCGAATTTGAACACAATGACATGGCAGTCTGACAAAATGTGACGGTGTTTAGACAAGCCAATACCACATTTTGAGAAGACAAAACGACAGTATAACATAATACAACAGTGTCATTACATACCAGGATCACATTTGGACAAGATGACACCAACTTCCGACAAGATAACACTACTGTTTCACATGATAAGACAATTCCAAGACAATTCAACACAACAATTAAACAAGTCTGTGTTCAAACATATTGAAATCTTAAATGGAAAAAATGGCGTGCATGTAAGACATATTAAGAATTCCATTCGGCATGTTGACACCGGATTTGCAAATGATTGCATGATGTTTTGAAATTATAAGACAGTGTTTAGACAAGTCAGCACTACATTTTGACAAGAGAAAATGAATATTTGACTTAATAAGGCTTCGTTAAGACAGGTTCTCATAAAACGTTGGCAAGCCAACACTTCCATTATACATAATAAGACGCTTTTAGGGAAAAATGAAACGAAATGTAACAACATGAGGCAGCTATAGCGTTCCATACAGTACCAACCCGTTACCGGTTATTTACATCTAGATCACAGACACGCATATGGCGAATTTAATACTTTAGGTAGAATGATGTATTCAAAAAAGAAATATAACTTATAATCTTCATTAAAAATTGTCCGAATGTTCTAGATGGCGGACATACGTGTTATTTTTCTCTCACAAGAACAGCAGAGATTAAATAACGAGTATTTACATTAAAATTGTATTTTATAATGTATCACGTTTTACACATGGTGATTTTGATTACAGGGAGTAATTGTTATACCATTGTGCTATTTAAGCACTGTATTTATATTGTGTAACAAATCTCCCTTTGCACTGTCAATCAGATTTAACACTGTGCAATTAGATAGTCGACACCAGTATAACCTTAATTTTTTAAGCGGCCTTCAAATTTTCTTAAGTTTAAGATATGTTATTTTATAGATATAAAGCGTTTCATATATTCGTTAAATCAATAGAATTAAGGTGGACAATGAATGAACGAATCACTGACGCGTTATAACCATGGTAACAGTTCTCGGAAGGCTTGTAAGTGATATGATGCACTTTTTTGAAATAGAATTATTGAAAAACTTAGTTTGATACAACACATTATTGTTTTTTTTTCGACAGAAAAACAGAAAATAAATATTGAAGGCCGCTTTAAAGTACCTAGTGATGTAAAAGAGTACAAATGCAACTCTAACTTCGATAATAACATACAGTAGTCGCCGAAACGCAAGAAAATAGTTTCATTCACATGCGTTAAGACAGTCTATGCAAAAAAGACAAAACAACATAGGTGACTTGCATTTGCTTAAAAAGCGTCTCTGCCATTCGGATTTTTTTGAAGATAAGGCAATGAGTACAAGATTTCTTAGTATCAGGTGTTGACATTGGTTCTATAAAATGCACAGATATAAAGCACTGATACAAAACAATCTTTTTTTTTAAAGTTAAGACAAAATCGTATTCTTAAAAGTTGTCGTCGTCGTAATTGCAGCCATACTCGTTGTCATTAAAGTTGTTGAATTCTTAGTCCTGGTTAAAGTCGTCTTTTTGAAGCCCACTTGAATTCGTATTCGTGATCGTAGTCGTGGGGGAAAAGAGTAAACTATTTTTTCCCAAGACGAATTTGGGGAAAGAAAAACCGTTTGGTCGTCTTTCAAAATTGAATTTTTAAATAACAGCTAAGGGTACTGATACGGGTGTTCTTTATACGGTGTAACAATGAATACAGCTCACGCGCAAGTTATATACGGTGTAAGCTTTATACGGTGTTACAGTCAACGTAAACAGCTCACGCGTAAGCTTTATACGTCATAAGCTCTTTTATATTCTCAGAAGCTGTAATCATTCTTAATTTCTGGTCACTAAGTACAATCTTTCAAAACTAGAAAGGAATGTTATGATTTTCCATTTTCTAGAGCAAAAGCATTTTTTTTATTTCGATGTTTACGTAAACCATAGCTTCATTATCAAAGGCCCAACCCTTTTGCTATTTGTTAATTTCGAAATCAATTTGTTTCTCTGTATATTTACATGTATATATTAGCAATAGAATATGATTAAACTATCATTGTTTTTTTTTAACTTGGTTAAACAAGAACAATTTACAAATACAAATAATCGAAGTTAAGAAATTTGCCCTACAAAATATACCCTTTAATATAGAATTACTGTAAATTCCTATTATCTGACAAATGATACTTAATGTTCTAGTTTTTGTGCTCAGCGTTAACTTGCTGTACTAGTTTTCGACCAATATTTGTTGTCAGCTTTGGTGCAGGTGTTATATTAAATAGATGAAAATAATCACACACCCTGTATATATGTAATTTAGGAAAACATAGGTAATTACAGGAATACCTATATACTTGTAGGAATATATAACATTAAATTAGAAATATATATGTAATTGTATGAATAATTATGTAATTATAGGCATAAATATGTAATTTTAGACTTACTTATATAAGTAATGGTAGGAATATATATGTAGTTGTAGGCATACACAGCTTTTTAGATAAAATAAATTTAAGATAATAGAGCTTGCATTTAATTTGGGAATATTTTTGAAATTGTAAAAATTATATGTAAATATATAAAATTTTTATGTAATTATAAAAATATAATAATGTATGAAAAATTATGTTTTATAATGGGAATAATATGTAAAAAAAGTTATATGTAAGTATGAAAAATTTTAATTATAAGAAAAAAATATGTTATCATGGGAATATTATAGTAAAACAAAAATACTACGTAATTGAGAAAAATTATGAAATTTAAAAGAAATATATGTAATGATAAAAAATTTTATTTTTTAAATTTACGAAAAAACATTTATTGTTTGAAAAATTTGTAATTTAAGGTTTTTGTTATTTGGACTAATATTGTATTGAAAGTATTATGTAATTTAAAAAAGTATGAATTAAAGATTATATTTTATAATAGTAATATAAAGTAGTTGTAGGCATATGTTACATGTCATAAAATACATATTGAACTCAAACATTCTGCCTAATTTTGATGTACATTAAAAGAAAATTAATGCTATTTTGTATAAATTGATACTGAATAAAAAATAACTCCAAAACATTTTGAGCTTTGTCGGTTAACAAGTTAACCACTCTAATAATGAATTTTAATTTGAAACAATTTTAAAAAGAAAAACCTAACAGTTTTTACTTCTGTCGGGCTTATAGTCACGAGCAAATAGGTCAAATGGCGACTTTCAAGCTTTACATGGGTGCGGCAGATTCGTATTACTTTAACTTATTGTCCCAGTGAAATTATGGTAATAATGTTGTATACTATCTCGAAGTATTTGACGTATTCCCTTATGAACAGTGTATTCTTTAATCAAAAGATCTGTACTCTTTTGTCTTAGTACTGTATATACTTATAACCTGTAGTATATGCATGTACTTGTATTAATTATGGTTAAAGCAAATGTAATGCTAAATTTAAGACATAGGCCCTACGTACTTAAAATGACATTAAATATACGTTTATTTTTTTGGATTATTACATGAGATTATCTACATACACGGCATGTTTTAAGTGCAATTTAATTATAGCAATAAACACTTTTTCCTCTAGATTTTAAGATATGATCACTTAAGCATTTCAGTTTATGAGGTATATACTATCTAAATCGGTTAAATGTATTGAGAGTAATAAAAGTCATCTAAAATATAAGTCACGAGGAAAAAAAGTCAAGATTAATGCGAATATCATGTTCAGGTTCAATTCACACATAAAAGTATTAGAACATGAGGTTTGCAATAGCGAAAAAAATAATTATGAAAGAAAGAAAGAAAGAAAGAAAGAAAGAAAGAAAGAAAGAAAGAAAGAAAGAAGAAAGAAAGAAAGAAAGAAAGAAAGAAAGAAAGAAAGAAAGAAAGAAAGAAAGAAAGAAAGAAATAGTTTTTTGTGTGCTTTGTGAGGGCAATCCATATTAGGCATGTACTTTAGTGTTAGACAAACGTAAAATAGACGTCGAAATATGATCTTCACATCATATTAGTGGATAACAATAAGTTATCATCACAACATATTTGATAACAAAAGAACACAATGTCATGTAAATTAAATGTACATTTTTCTACAAACCAAATCAATTACGCCTTCCACGGAGCATAATTATAAAACTCAAAACTTATTTCGGCATTAAAATATATGTCTGAAATTTACGTTTTCGATTCATAAATCAAAAGAAAATATCTTTTCGCAGTGTACAGAGAATATAACTTACCAAAAGCTCGAACTGGCCACCGTGTTATCAGTTTGCACAATAGCAGCGGTTCCGCATCCCGGCGCTGTTTTTGCCGCTCAATAGCAGCCAACTCCGCACGTGCGTCTCTCTCTTCCGGTCCTAAATCTAGTTCCATATTTCCTTCAGACGCAGCACATTTGAAAGTCCGTACGAAAAGCAAAATGTTTGACAGCGATCGCTGTCTTACAAATAATAAAACTTTGAAGCGTGTCAAAATAACTATTTTATTTTAAGACGATTATGTGTAAACTACACGCTCTTTGATTGCATGATTTGCTAAGCTACTTGCGTATAAAAGTTAAAATCTAGGACGGCTGAGAAATAACACACTTAACTCTTCCTTGTCCCGCGTGTTACCGAAATCATTCCTATCCAATTTAAGAGTAAATTGAAAATAAAACAACAACAAAAATTCCCAAACAAAACAAGTCACCGCAATTAACAATAATACATTTAAATAATCAGTTGAATGGTATTTATTTCTATAGAATATGCTATTTATAGAATATGAAAAGGAAAAGAAATGAACATTGAAAATCAATTAACAACGCTGTACGGTAATCCAATAGCATATGACAGTTGTATGAAAGAAATAAAACCATAATCCGTATTAAAACTGAGCATCTGTTTAGGAAATTTCTTTTGTCACAAGAGTTAATTATACATGTGTGTTTATATATGTCATTGATTTTTCATGTATACGTTTCAGGGGAAATTGATAGTGAAAAAGCTATTCATTAAAACATACATGTCCCATTTTCAGTGCTACAGATCCTTTTTGCATTTATAGATACTGTAGGTGTTTTTTGTCCGCTCACCTGACGTCACTAAAGCGGTCACCCACTGGTTATCCGGCAATGACCGTATTAGTTATTCTACAATATAATAAGTATTTCACACTAATACTGTAGAGCCAATGCCCTGCTATTCTATAGTTTGGGGATAAAACTAGATACTTTTAATCATTAACGCATAAATAACTTTGTGAATGGATGTAGAGCTACATTAGTAAAATAACAACATTGTTTAAATCAATACATGTATTATTTTATCTTTGATATCAACAACAATCAGCCTAAAGTAATCAATATCGTTTTAGAGCCAGTTTATTCCAATAACGTTCTTTTGTGATGTAAAATCAGACGCAATCTGACTATATATATATAGCTAAAGTTCAGATCTATACTTAGGTTATTTTTTGCACGGAGATCTGATTGCCACCGTTTGTTTCACCATTTCTGATTCAGGAATTTTTACCAGAGGGGTAGCTAAATTTCGACAAGGGGTAATGCATTTCCAAAATGGAGTTGACATTTCAATTGTTTTTCAGATGGTTTCATAATTTATGGCAAAAATGTTCTGATTTTCACTAGCTTTAACGTAAATGTTCGTAAAAGCATAAATTGATAGCTAGCTAGTAAGCTAAATCTCAGAAGTCTTCCGCATATTTAAGCCAAATCCCAAAAATCCCATGTAAATAATAGGTTTTCGCAATTATCCAATAATATCCAATTGTAATATACCATTGAATATTGGTTTTAATGGTTTTAACTTTACTAATGTCATATATATTCAGTTATAATGCGCTACGAACAGTTTACTCCTTGAATCACACAGACAAATGTCGATGGTATTTATTTATTTATAGTTATTTCATTTATTGACCATTTTGCAAAACACGGGATATGGCCAAGCCATACGAGCAAATTTCGCATTGATTGTGCTCCACAATATAACACTTACATGAGTCCATGACGTAGGTTAATTAATATTCCATAGTAAACGTTTCATTATTTTATCTAATTTGGTTTTTTAGACCAATAATGCGTGGTACGTTTTTGCTTCCAGATGCATTTTGTGTGTGTTGGTAATATTTTTAGTACATTTGTTACTAAATTTGAACGAGTTTCATCCGTTATTTTCCAAAACTGTTTTTAATTAACCACGGCCGGGTATCTTTCTTTAAAGTTACTTCTTGTTCCGCTATAAACACCAATGATCGTTATAGTACTAGTATTCGATACCGATGCATACCCGTGCAAACTTTTCATTAGATTTTATTAGTGATAAATCATTTGTAAGGGTCAAATACCAAATATCAAACCGAAATCTTTCTTTTTTTAAATTTGAACGCTTCATTACACCGGAAAGATGGTCACACCGCGTGTTCAAATACATGGTATTAAAAATGCGAACTGTTAATAGCGTTCATTGAAAGATGGCCACAAATATATTATAACTAGCAAAATAAAAAACTTTTCGTATTTTTGTATTTGGTATTCATCAATGTTTTATTATAAGTTTAAAAAATGGTTTTAACATTCCTAATGTCCTATATTCAATTTAAAAGCGTTACGAACGATTCACTCCCTAAATCGCACAGACATATCTATTAATATTATCATTAATATCGTTCATGTACCTAATATAAAAATACAGGTAAATTATTTCACCTGAGTGTAGTGAATTTCTATGAATAATACAAGAGTTTGGCATTCCCTTGAGCAGAAAAAAGTATATGAGCCGTCTCACGACAAAACCAACATAATGGGTTTGCGACCAGCATGGATCCAGACCAGCCTGCGCCTCCGCGCAGTCTGATCAGGATCCATGCTGTTCGCTATCAGTTTCTCTACAGTCTTGTTATAGGGTTTGTAAGCGAACAGCATGGATCCTGATCAGACTGCGCCTCCGCGCAGGCTGGTCTGGATCCATGCTGGTCGCAAACCCATTATGTTGGTTTTGTCATGACGCGGCTCATATATCGATGAACAGTATCATTCAATAATCTACCCGTGCAGCAAGTATGGTAACATCCGAGCTTATTATGGAAGCAGCCAGGCGGTTCCGGTAATCATGAATGTTACATGGGCATCAAAATATTGTCCACGTATTGTCATGACAATGTGATGTCATATATATACATGTATAAATACATGTTACACGCCGCATCTCTGCACTCCATAGATTCATTATCAAACGTGGATTGAAAGAAGATATTCTGTACAAAATGGTAGGCATATTTGCATATTTTTTCTACTCATTTCTATTTTTTTTTGGTTTCAGTCTAAAGAACTTACTTGTCATATTTTTAATGTGTTTTAAGGTTTATTATTTTCTAAGCAATATATACTAAGCAAATAAAGGGTATGCTGCTACTAATAGCGAAATATACTTAAAAAGAAATACAAAAAGTTAAAAGAGTTTAAAAAAACTTGAAAAAATAAAAAATAAAAAAATAAATGAAATGTAAAGAAAAAAAAAAAATCAAGAGCAGTAGCAACAATAACAACACCAAACTTTAAATCAATCAAAAACCTTTAACAAATATGTGCACTTGAATTACATATGTATATAAATAAACAGCTCAAAGCGTTCCGCTGTTTTACTAGATTCGGCGATGCGCTTCACGCGTTTTTGATTAACATTTCAGTAAATTATTTAACCAATTACAGATCTAAGATAGCTTTATAGTTGATATCCTTAAATAGTTGTTTGTCGTACATTTATTTGAACTTAACCGTTTTTGCTTAATTTTTGGATGAATGTCCAAAAAATCATTTCGCTTTTTGTAAGAATTATTATCAGTGTGAATGAACTTGGTCTGTCCGATCATATTCCTTTATAGGTTTATCTTTAGTATTTAAAATTCGAACATGTTCAATCATATTTCTCCCTATTTTTTTCCTTTCTTCTACTATTTCTCTTACAATACCTTATTTTCTCTACAATGATAATTCAACAATCAATTATTCTCTTATTCTTTGTTGTACATTCAAAGAGCTTTACAACATTTTTGTATCTTTATTTTTTTGAAAACTCACTTTTACTGCAGAAGAATTGATATAAATATTGTTTTACTAATTTTCGAATTCAGTCTGAATACCTTGTAAGTTGCGAAATGTTTGTAAATTTTGTTTATGTATACAATTTGTACAATTTATTGAATAAAATAATGTTTAAACTATTGAGTTAATGTGAAGTCTTAAAGGGACTCCACTGAGGTTTAAAAGCCTAAAACATAACATTTGAATTTCTTACATGAATGACAGAATTACAGAAATATATGCAAAGATAGTTAAGAAATATACTTTGAAATTAATTTAAATCATATTTTTTATGCTTTTCTTAGACCGATTTGTGTGAAAAGCGTTTAAACGCTTTTCTTTTTGTGATCATGTTTTTAACATTTGAATAATTATTCTGGAAAAACGAAGTGCGCGAATGATCTTAAATTTTGCACAAAGATAAGTAGTCTATACCTACATCAAATGGTACATTTATCTGCAAAAATATCCTCAGTCTCATCATGTCAAAATACCTCAGTGAAGTCTCTTTAAATTTGGCGGTGACAAAAAAAAAGAATAAAAAATAAATATAAATGAATAAGTAAATAGAAAAACAACAACAACAATACACAACAACAAAAAACCCCAAACCAACAAACAACATTTTGTAAATGTTTATATTGTAAGAAGCTATTGTAAATAATAACCGCATCATTTATATACCCAAGAATGAAACTACAATGTTCTATCACTTCCCTTATGTTTGCTATGCAAAAAGAATAATTGTATAGCATAAATGTGAACACAGCATCAAATGTTCCGGTTATCGCATTTCAAAAGACAAGACATGTTTTTTTTGTAAAATATAAAAATAATAAGTTTTGCAATTTAAAACCAATGTCCTTAGCGAATGTGAATAAAATTTTGACAAAAAGGGTTTATTTAGTATTCTGTTTACATATTTAATAAAAGTACACATATTACTATGAATCTTTTATATTCAAATAACGAAATTTATAGCGGATAGTTTATGTAAACATGACTGCAAAAATTGCATTATAACTCTATATATTATTATTATAGATAAATGCGTTTTCTGGTGCATTAAATACATAAACATTGTGAACGGTTCATAAAATATATTCAGTTTGCAGTCGCATGCATTTAATGGGACATATGTTTTGTAACAAAAGATTGTCAAAGAACAACTAATAAATAAATAAATAAATAAATAAATAAACTCCCAACAATAACAACAACAACAACAACAAAAACAAAAACAACAACACGCAATTATAGATTTGTTTGCAACTATTAACTTTCGACTACAGAATAACAAAAATGTCTAGGGTGCCAAGACTATTCTATCCCATGGCTTATTGCATCAGTGCAAGACAGCCATGGTGCGAAATTTGCCGAGGTCTTACAATCTTCTGATGGTTACATAAATTTTAATTTACGATTCAAAATTTAAGAACTGTGCTTGAATGAAATGAAATCTCTTAATGATATATAGACTACTATTTTAATAGATTGTAAATAGTAAACCTAGTTTGATTAACGTCAACTTTGTTTTCCGTCTTCAGCGAGAGTGTATATCTGTACATGTTGGTCAAGCCGGGGTCCAGATGGGCAACGCCTGCTGGGAGTTGTACTGTCTCGAGCACGGTATCCAGCCCGACGGTCAGATGCCCAGTGACAAGACCCTGGGTGGTGGAGACGACTCCTTCAACACTTTCTTTAGTGAGACCG